CGTCCTTTGGGTTTCATTTGGTCCTCGCATGTGTAAAGGGACAGAGTCCTTTTGGACTATCTGGCAATATTTCTTTTATCTATTTACAGAATAAAATAAACCCTGGGGTCAAAGTATGCACTGGTGAGTACAAGTTCAGGTGACCATTTGTTGGCCATCTCCTAGGCAAGGGAATCTTAAACTTGGGAAGAAGGGAAGGTGCCCAAGGAAGAACAATTTCCCAGGGGAGAATTTTAGAATCAGTGAGTGGGGGGGGGGGGGTCTTTGAAAAATTCCACGTGTCTCCTTATGCTAAATCAGGGGTCAGCAAACTGCAGTTCCTGGGCCAAATTCCAGCATCCAAGATTTCCTGGAAGGTATCCAGGCTCCTTTACCTCGCTGTGTCTGAGGCTGCTTCTGCAATGGCAGAGCTGAGTAGTTACGAGAGAGATCATGGCCCACCAAATAGAAACTGTTTTTTTTTTTTTTTTTAATTGGTTGTTCAAAACATTACAAAGCTCATGACATATCATCTTCCATACATTTGATTCAAGTGGGTTATGAACTCCCATTTTTTACCCCAAATACAAGTAGAAACTGTTAACAATCCAGCTCTTAACAGAAAGAATTTGTCAATCCCTGCCCTAGATACTTCTTGAGAATCATGAGTTGTCATTACTAAGTAATGCATCCTTTTCCTTAGATATATTTCTCAGGGCTGTAACAGCTAAGTTTAGCTTTGCATGGCAGTAACAAAGAGCTGAAAAATAGTGGCTTAAACCAGCTGCTTCTATTTTGCTTAAAATTCTAGGGGTGACTGACACTTCCCAGAGTCAGGGATTAAGATTACTTCTATGTTTTTGCTCCTCTTCATTGCCAAGGTCACATGATAGTCCAAAATGGCTGCAAGAGAGCCAGGCATAACAGTCACATCCAGGTAGCAAGAAGAAAAAGTAAAAAGGACAGCCTCAACTCAACTTTTAAGGAAAGCTCTAGAAATAGTGTTTTAGTAAAACACTTAAGGTTATTAATCCTTGTCTAAACTTGGCCCCCTTGTTGTAGTGGAGGATCAGAAATATAGATTTTTAGTTGGTAGAAATTTGCTCAGCTAACAAATCAGGGTTGTATAATTTTTAAGATGCGGTTTGTTCGTGATGGATTTTACAGATAATTAGCAATCTCCCCCAGAGCAACCCTTACTCCAATCACCAAGCCCCTTATTAAGATGCGCTCATGCCCTGCGCAGGACAGTCATTTGTCATATCTTCAAAATAATAAACTTTAAATATTTTTATAATTAAGATATGGTGAGATCAGTACCAGCGAGCAGTAACTTTGGCTGACTGTCTTCAAATCTCCATTCAAAAGTCCTGTCTCCTGAAGGAACTGGAGAAATGTGTCTTTCTTCCGTCACAGTGGAGTTGTATGTGTAGACCGGCATGAACCGAGTGCCTCTAACACAGTCCAGTGGAATTTCACCAGGGTCTTTTGATAGACTGCTGGCCTGGCTGGTGTGTCTGTGCCTGAAGGTCCCTGATGCTACTCCACCCCCACCACAATCTCCTTCATCACCACACATTCCATTTACCTTCCACACCTACAGAGACCACAAGTCAGAGAGACTGGATGTTCACCCACCCGCAAAGCCACATCTACTCCAACATCCAACACTAGAGGAACTTCTCTCTGCTTTCTAGTTTTTTTTTCCCCAAAATGTATATAGTTCTTGGGTACCAGAGATTGAACTCAGGGTCACTCGACCACTGAACACATCCCCAGCCCTATTTTGTATTTTATTTAGAGACAGGGTCTCACAGACGTACTTAGGGCCTCACTAAGTTACTGAGGCTAGCTTTGAACTAGCCATTCTCCTGTCTCAGCCTCCTAAGCAGCTGGGATTTTAGGTGTGTGGCACTGTGACCAGCTCTTCCTAGGCTTTTAACATCTCTCTACAACTTGCAACTTGGTAGGTCCTGATAATTTTCAACCAAAAAGGGCTACTCATCTCGCTTTGAACACAGGTGGCAGGAGAGGCAGGGGTGGATCTAAGGATATATCAGGAAGGAAGATATTGCAAAGTCAAAAGTTAAGAACAAATCCTGAATCCTTGACTCCAGAGAGTTTTCTGCATACTAACAAGAGCAGAAAAGAAAAATTAAAAGTCCCATACCTTTGGCATAGTGGTTAGTACTTAGCAACTAGTCTCGTGCCAACATTTTTCTTATTCTACAAAAGTAAAGACGAGACTTTCAGTATCAACATGGAAAGTCCTGGGAATTTTTGTCTCACATAACAGTGCAGCCTGAATTGGCATAGTGTCCAAGACCCAGACCACCCCATATGTTTCATTTTCTATAAAGTTAGGAGACAGGTATCATCTGCAAAGTTCCAAGATATATTAGGCTGTCCCAAACAGCTGAAGTCAAATAGAAGCCAAATGGGAAAAAGTGAAGAGGAGAAACCATGAGGTGGCATACATACACCAGGAAAAATACACCCCCCCACACACACTGAAGTTCAAAGAAATCTCTGTCCCCAAGTCTTGATACTGGGATAAGCAAGGGTCAATGTTCTGTTTTTAACAACTGTAGATTTGAGGTAGGAAGCAGACCTATACAAAGAACCAAAGAGATGAGCCATGTTTAAAGAGTTGGTTTCTTGAAAGAGGAGAGAAAGAAAGCTGTAAGATTATAAAATCGAGCTAGCCTAGACCATAACCCCAGCCCTCCCGGCCACACCTACCCCAGCCTTACTTCCCAGTCTCCCTACATGGAGCTGGTATGGGAAAGCCAATGCCTTCAAATATGAGCAACAAGAAGAAATCACATGTACACCACTTCAATATCAATTAAAAAAGGGTTAAGGAAAACGCAAAGAAAGTGGCAGAAAAGCTTATCAATGGGAAAGTAATAGAAAATGCTGCCACTGAAGCATATGAGATTTCTGGCTAAATATTTTGCAATGAATTTTTAAGACTAAGGAAAGCAATTTCTGTAAGAAGGAAGATCACAAAACAGAAATAACTCAGAGGAAAGATGGCAAGAAACAAGGAGCAGTGGGAATGTGAGCTTGCAGAACTCAGAAAAGGGGGGAGGGCGGTAACCAAAGATAGAAATGAGTGTGCACAAGGGAGAAGAGACAGCAGGAAACACAGTAAGGGACAGCAGACCACAGTGAGGAAGCACCAAATGGAGTGGAAATAGAGATTAAAACTGCTAGAGAGAAGAGGAAAAGAGTCAGACAAGGGAAACGCCTGAAGAATGAACAGGATCAGAACAAATATTTAAAGATATAATCCAAGAAAACTTTTCTTATTAAAAAAAAAAAAAGCAGGGTCAAACATGACTTGTGAAGACAACAGATCAGGGAGAACAGGTCAATGCTAAGGAGCATCCTGACAGATTCAACATTTAAGATAAAGAAAGAACCCTTTAGGATGAAAAATAGAAAGATAAATGTTGGCCCCAGATTTTCTTAATCAAGTTAAACCCAAGAAGATAACTAAGCAACACTTACAAGATCCTCAACACACACACACACACACACACACACACACACACACAGGCAAGCCAAGGTTTTTATATCCTACCAAACTGTTGTTAAAATATAAACAGCCAGGAGCTGGGCTTGTAGCTAGTGGTAGAGTGCTGGCCTACCACATGTGAGGCTCAGCACCACATAAAAAATAAATAAATAAAATAAAGGTATTGTGTCCATCTATAACTAAAACTATTTAAAACAAACAAAAATAACAAAAACAGTTGGTTCTGAACATGTAGGAAGTACAGAGATATTGTTTCCACAAGACCTTGAGCAAACTCACAGATAATGAACTGTGGTCATCTAAATAAGAGGGGAAATAAGGCAAAGGAAATAGCAGTAAGAAATGAACATTTTTATCTAGGGAAAGACTTGAAAAAACAAAGAAAGAAGCAAAAAGCTGGGGATTTGCAGGCAGGATGGAAAGTGGACACCCCATGCCCTGACATCGTAGCTATAATACAGCTGTCAAATTAGGACAAGAGGGAAGGACGGAGACGAAGAGCTAGACAGGAGGGGGTGGCTGATCCTTCGCTCACAGGTGGGAGTCAAAGGGGCTCATTTACAGAGGACAGGTCAGAAAGGTAATTAGAGCATTTCACTGATTGTCCTGCTCCTGTCCCTCTGGAGTTTCCAATGGCAGTTTGGGTAAAATCCCAGCCTCAGACTTTGCATGTGCTGGCCCTGCTGGCCTGTAGGCATGTCTCTACCAACATCCATCTCTTTCATGCCTTTCCACCTAGTTCCTGGAGCTGCATGTCCTTTGCTGCCACCCACATTCTGCACATGCCATCATCCCTCCAGGATGCCCATCTGCCTTCTGGAATGTCCCTTCCCCATTCCCTCAATGCCCCTCCAACTTCTACTGTCAGCCTCAATGTCTCAAAAATGCCAAAACTGACTTCCCCAACTGAAATGAGTTCTTTGATTATATCCAGTGCATTTTTTTCCTTATAATACTCCAAACTGGTGGGATTATTTATTTACAATCTGCTTTTCCCATAAGATTGTGGAGTCCAAGAAGGCAGACCTAATTCTGCTTGAAATCCATTTAAATTCTGGGTCCTAAGAATGATCTTTATATGTAGGAAATGCTTAATAAATAAATATTCATTGAGATGAACAAAACAGCCTTTACCCCACCAACCACTCTTTCTCTGCCTCCTCTCCTCTGTATCTGAACAGTGATAATGGTAAGAAATTACTTCTAAAAACAAGACCAAAAAACTGCAAGACCTTTAAAACATTCTGTTTTATATACTTTCTTTACTAAGCCAGGAAAGAATAAAAATGCATTTTCGAAAGATTTCCAGAGAGGACTGATATAAAAGAGCTTTCTCATAAGCTGTATGATCACCATGAATGCAGAAGACATTTTGTCTCAGGCGCTTTGGGGTCTGGTGAAATTCTATTGTATGTTTCCACATGCCATTTGTCACACACAGACAGGAAAATATAAAAGCAGAAAGCTTTCCACTTACTTTGGATGTTCAAACTTGTCTATAAGATCAACCTTTTCCACCAGGTCTCCTCCAATTGTTCGGACTAAGTCATAGAAATCATTCTCTGTGTAATTCTCGGAGGGCAACCAGAATGAGATGTCATTTATCACGGCAGGGTATTTGCTGAGAGGCTAACAAAACAAGAGAAGAAAAGATAGATGGACTTGTTAGTTGGATGAAAATAAATTTTTCATGGAAACTTTTACTTAGTTAATTAGGAAATGCTGATAAAACGTTATTTTAGCATTTGAATTTTCAGGAACAAAATGAACTGATAAGATAAATCAATATTCAAAATTAGCAAATTCTATTATGAATGCTACAGATTCTTATCACATTCATGTGTAACGTTATCATATATTATATTTATATTGCAATTAATGTCCAATTTAGTATAAAGCAATTTGAATATATCATATTCAGATTTTCCCATTTGAATTCTGGAGGAGAAAAGTTCAAATTTAATTAACATGCAATTCATTAACTTTTGATGATACTTTCAGGAAGCCATCTTAATAGAGAAATAAGTGAAGGCTTGTCAAAATGGATATTTCAATTAGTAATGTCATTATTTGTTGCTATTCCTAATTATTAAAACAAGGGACTGGGTTAGAAAGTAGTCATCTCGGGGGTTGTTTTCAAATTTTGCCTCTATGGATATAATAAACACAAACAATTATTTCCCCCATTTTATTCCATTTTTCCATGGTTTCTTATTAGCTCAGTATTTATCACTATATTGGATAGACATTGAAATTAGATATATTTAGAAGTTCCTGCACTTGTGAACATGCTTAGGCACAACATAACCTCAGATATACATACAAGTTCTAGACTACATGTTAGTATAGACTAAAAGACAAAATGTTCCATTATATAACTATGAACTCCTAAAGGAATATTCTAAGGAAATAAGCTATACATTTTCTAGAAGGACAAATTTGCAAATTGATCTATGCCAAATCTGATACCAGTAACACCCCCTCTCCCCACTCCCCGTGAATCACTGATCCAGAAAAAATATAAACTTTTAAATGGCAAAATCTCTAAAGAACTAAATATACATAAATGATTGTTCAACTTAAAATATCAATAAGGTGTCAAACCAATAAATCATTTTAGAGTACATCAAAGAGCATAATACAGCTACCATTTTCCTGTCTTTGACAAAATACTTCAGCTCCCGAGAAACATCCTATGTTTTCTCCCCTAAAATAAAATCAGGATGCTGTGATAAATAACCCATGGGTCACATAAGAGATGGAAGTTGGGTGGCTATGCAAGTTGTTTTTCCTTTTGAAAACACTCTTGTGGCCCTTAAGGAACATGTAAATTTAGGAAGATCAGTAGGAAACTAACTGATGAAATCTCCTCTCCAAAATCTAAGCTGAGGAGCACACTTTCCAAGCTCTTGATGTGAGGCAAAGTCACAAGGAAATGGGAGAAGTCCCCCAACCAAGCACTTTTGTCAGTATTCCATGGGTAACAGTTAATAAGGCAGTCAGCCAGAAAACACCCCCCCCCCGCAATTTACTAAAAAAAAAAAAAAAAACATACATTACTGTAAATACAGTTTCAAAAACCATGGAATTAGAAAGCCCACACTTTATTGTATTGCAAAGTATTTCAAGCTAAGAAAGGTAACAAGTCTTAAGTTTTGGCTTTAGAAAGAAAGCATACATTCCACTAATTGGTAGGTACCAGACATGGGATAGCTACTAGTGGCCCTTGTTTTTTTTAAGTAAGAGAAATTCATATATATATATATATATATTTAAATGAGAATACCAGAAGATCTATGGATACTGAGATCTAGGCTTTCAGGTGTTTAACCACTGGGGTTGGGGTGCAGCTCAGAGGTAAAGCACTTGCCCAGCATGCATGAGGCCCTGGGTTCCATCCCCAGCACTACGGGGTTTGTGGGGAGATTTAAAAGACTGGCCATGTTAAAAACCACCCAGTGGCTTCATATTGTTTGTGGAATTGATTCCTAAAAGTTTCTACCTCTTTCAAAGGTTCTCCAGGCCCAGGCCAGTCTGGCTGACTAGGTTTCTGGAATACACTAAGTGACTTCCTCTCAGTTCCTCTTCTGCCCTCCCTACCCCACTTCTGGCCTTTAGCCACCAGCCTCATGTCGATCCTCCCAGACCCCATCAGCCCCTCTACATGGCCCCCATCCTCCTCTTGCACAGTTCTCCCTATCATCCTCTTACTGACTCGGTATCTTTCCTGTACGTAACCGTCCTTGCGGGTGGGGTGTGCACTGCCTCTTTTTCCTCCTCTAGATCTCTGTTCTCTTGCACAGTTCCTCTTGCCCTGGGGGACGTCAACAGGAGCACAGCACAGCACTGGCTGTGTGGCTGTGACTTCAGTCATCCGGCTCACTCAGCCTTCCCTAACCACACCGAGGGCACAGATCTTCTATATCCTTTCTGATATTTATTTGCTTGATCTTCTTGACCTATCAGTTTCTAATAAAAGATAATAAAATCTCCTACTTTCGTCAACTTTATAAGTTTTCCCAGTAATTTTATCAGCTTTGTTTCACCTATTTTGAAGCCGTATTGTTAGGAATATAAAAGTTTATTGTGTCTTTTTGGTGGATTTTACCTTCTAGCAGTATTTATGTACTTACTAATCTCTATTATTGCCTTTTGCCCAAAGTTAGAACTTCTTACACTACCTTTATTTTCGTTAGCATTTGCTTGGTAAATACTTTTTCAGTCACTTTGATACAAAGTTTTCTGTTTTTTTAAAAGATGTTTATATTTACATATAATATTGGGGCTCATTTTGACATAACTATACATGTATGGAATACAGTTTGCTCCAATTCAGTCCCTAGTACTTCCCCTTTCCCTCCCCTCTCCCTCCCTCCCCCTCTCCGTTCCCTTTCTTCTCCTGTGGTATATTCAGGTAGGTACACAGGATGATTTGGTCAGTTTCATTCCACCATGGCTCCCGTTCTCTGTCTCTCCTCCCCCCCCAATCCCCGTTCTCTACTCCACTGATCTCTCTTCTATTTGCATGGAACTCCCACACATTTCTTTTTCCTTATTTTGTTCTAGCTCCCACTTACCATAGACAACATTCGACCCTTGACTTTCTGAATCTGGCTGATTTCACTTAGCAGGATGTTCTTAAGTTCCATTCATTTACCAGAAAAATGCTATAATTTCATTCTTCTTCATGGCTGAGTAGAACTCCATTGTGTATCTATAGCAGTTTTTAATCCTTTAGTTATTGGTGGTTTCATAAACAAGTTAAATTTCATTTACAATCCAATGACTTTGTCTGTTTGATAATGGGGACTGAACCCATTATCAAACAGATAATGGTACATCTATGCTACACCACCAGATCTTATTTTAGATAAATTCTCCTTAAGTTGCCGATGCTGGCTTTGAACTTATGATCCTTTTGCCTCAGCCTCTCGAGTAGCTAGTATTTTAGGTGTATACCAACACACCCAGTTGTTTTTTTTTTTTAATTTTTTAATTATTATTTTTTGGTATTTCACAGTGCAACAAATGTCACAATTACTTAGTGACATATTAATTTTCCTTCAGTGGTGTTGGGAAGCAAAACTAGGGCCTTGGAGCTACCACTACAGGTAGGCCCCTGAACTACAGCTTAAACAGATTCCCTTTTCTAAAAAAAAAAAAAAAAAAAAAAAAATTCAATTATATATTTGAAAACCTTTGTTTAAAAAGCCCAATATTTTTAATAGTATATTTATTTCTTGCATTCCACCTCTTTTTTGTCAGACAATTCTCCATGGACTTTCCATACAACTTGTGACAGCTTGTACAGCAAATAGCTTTGGAAGGCACAGGTAGTCTCTCCCTGGGGAGGTGCAGAGAGCAGAGCTGTTTCCTCACCAGAATGATAATGTTTTCCGTGGAACAAAGATTGGGTGGGTTTACTAACAACTCCTTTAATTGACTAGGAGGAAAATAAGCAAATGTAGTGAATAAACAAAACAGTGGGAGGTTCCTCAGCAAGAGGGTTCTCTCATCTGTGCTAACAGCCAAGTAGCAACCAGCAGCCAGTGCCCCCCCCCCCCCGGAAATCAGGGGTTAGGAGAACCAATGCAAACCAGCAACCACTGCTGCTTCTGTGCTGCAGTACCACAGTCCTCTGTCTCTGGGATAGGAGTCTTGTCATTCTGCCCAAACCAGTGAAGTGGGCAGAACGTGGCTGGCTACAAGAGGGGTAAATTCTTAAGTCTTTTCCAGCCCCAACACTCTTTCCTCCTGTGTTAGCTTGTTGTTACTGGGAAACAAACAAACAAACAAACAAAAAAAAACAAAAAAAAAACCCTGATATAATCTGGGTGGTGTGTGCAGACTCCTCTTGAAGGGGAGATTTAGCAGATTTGTTGCACTATATAGTCAACTTAAAAGGAGGAATGTTTTTCTTTTTGGCTCACTGTTTCAGAGTTTCAGCCCATGATCACTTGGTCTGCCTTTGGGCCTGTGGTGAGGCAGAACCTCATGGCAGGAGCACAAAGGGGAGGAGGCTGTTCACCTCATGGTAGCCAGGAAGCAAGAAACAGGAAGGGGCTGGGTTCCCAAAATCCCCTTCTAGAGCACACCCCCCAGTGACCTAACTTGCTCCCACTAGGTCCCTCTTCCTAAAGATCTATCACTTCCCAGTTGTGCCACAGGTTGGTGACCAAGCCTTTAACACATGGGCCTTGGGAGACACTCCTGATCCAAACTGTAGTACTTGCTTTCCACTTTTGCTCTCTGATGAATATTCTTCAACGGCTTTTTTTTCCCCCTCAATGAAAATCTGTGGGAGGCTGACGTTCTAAGTATCCCCGTGTCTAAAAGCCCTCACACTTAAGTAGTTTGGCAGTGCGCGATTGTGGGTTTGTCGCTGTTTTACCTCAGCACTTTGAAAACATTTTCCTGGTACCTATTAGTAATGATGACAAGTCTGCTGTCAGTCACTGCTATTCCTCTGTCGGTAATCTGTCTTTTCTTCCTGGCAGTTTGGAAGCCTTGTATCTTTACCCCTGAGGCTGTGCAGTTTGACTGTGATGAGGCTGGGTATGTATTTATCTTTATTTATTCTGCTCAGTACACAGAGTGTGCTTTCAATCAGAGGGTTCAGGTCTTATTCC